GGTTGTCCAGTTTGTTTGACTGTTGCCCACAGATTGTCTGAGTGCCCTGTGATGGACAGGTGTCTTGTCCCGGGTGTGGACCGCCACGTGATGGGCTCTGGGTTACCTGAACCCCAACCAAGAATCAGAGGTTCTCTGGTGGGGGATGGGTGGACTTGCAGTTGCAGGTGTGATTTTGTGACGCTCGTGGGGGTTAGCCACCTCTCGTACCCCTCAAACCGGACACAACCTGCACCCAGGACAGAACACGCCGTGTGAGATGAGGCGGAGGCTGCTCACGCGCTCTGCTGTGCAGCTTCAGAGTGGGAGCCCCGGGCAGGTCTGTGAGGCGAGATTTATGACCACGGTGCTGCTGCTACTTGCAGGGCTGTGGCACAGTGCCGCTAAATAGCGGAGTGGTTGGGGCATGCCTGCAAACCTCTCCCGGACGTCCAAAATAAAACTCTGCGTTTGACTGGGGAACCACAGGCAGCTCCCTCAGTGATGATCACACAGAACCTTGCGAAGATTGCAGACAGAGGGCGCTGCCGAGCTGGGGGGAGTTTTTCCAGGAGCTGTAAGAAAGTCTTCTTGCACAATCGCCACACGTTGTCGGCAGCACAGCTTGTCACGAGCACCAGGCGTGAGCCAAGGAGACACACCTCTCAGCTCGCAATGTTGTGTAGTTTATTCTGCACTCTTGATCTTTGGTTCCTTTTAGCCGAGCTAAATTGTTTTGATGTTAGCTTTCAAATAGTTGCGGTACATGCGTTGACTGATGTGAAGGGAGCAGTCCTGTCTGTTCCGTGAAGGGAGGCTGGGTGTAGCAGTTAAAGTCAAGGACTTGTGAACATGTAGTTTCAGGTTCAAGGCCAGCACCTGTGCCACTGCCTTGTGGTCACTCTGAGCTCATTACCGAAACTCCTTGAGCCTTGTCCTTTAAACTGTCCTGCTGGTCAGGGACTCTGTTTGGTCTCGGTCACTCCCTGATCCAGGGCTACTCAGCCTGCTGCCCTTCCAGAGTACTGCAGGGCTTGAAGTATAACCCAGCATCCCAGTGTCCAGTGCGGCAGAGGGTCACGTGCGTGTGCTCCCTGAGCACCCCCCAGTGCCAGGTCTCCGCAGGTATCTCCATCTGGCTGCTTGCTTCTTCTGCTAGTGCTGGGAGCGTTTACTCTTTCCTAAGCCCTGAGTAGGTGCCATGGGAACGGGCTGCTCTTGGTAAGCAGCCAGCGCTGATGTCATCCCACTGTGTGTGCACGATCATTTTATCCTCTCTTCCACGGGGGGGGGAGGGCACCAGCCTGACTCCGCAGAGAGTTTAGCAGGGGGGCAGCTCAGGGGCAGGCATCTGCTCGCTCCTCGCTCCCCAGAAAGGAGTGTCTTCCTGTTGCTCTCCACTCTCCTTGGCTACCTAGGCGGTGTTGTGCGGCTGGGGTTGGGGACTCAGGGTTTGTTGCTGCTGCAGTTAGCACCGTGGAGAGAGAGAGAGCTCTTCAGGGAGGGACAAGTAGGGCTCCCTCTTGCACCTACTGCTTTACCTGCGTGATATGGTGCGGCTCTGCATTGCTGTCCCGTGTGTTCTTCCTGACCACCTGGCTGAAGTGCAGAGCAAAATGTAAAATCCTGTTGAACCCAGCAGGTCTGAGGAAATGGAATGTCTGTGCCACACAACATTTTGGCTAAAGGAGGGTTTCGAAAAAGGCTACTCAGAATTGATAGGGAAGAATAGGGAAAAGGGAAGGAAATGAATATTGCAAAGTGCTCTGAGGTCCATTAGTTTAGACCACACATACATCCTTATTTTGACAATGCGTTCGCTCTGTCTGCCTCAGAGCACATTGATCAGCTGTGAAGTCGGCTGGAGAGGAAAGCAGGCTCCCTCTGCAGGAGTGGGTGACTGTTCCACCACTGGGGAGTGTGGCCTGGTATCCTTGTCTGATCTCCCACCCGTCAGGGGACACCCTGCGGTTCTGACAGAAGGCACCCCACCAGTTTCTCTCTGGGATGTGGCTGTGCTTAGTGAGTGGATTCCCGTCAGGGGTCGATCTGCACACAGAACGTCCGGGAGGTGATAGGAGCCCTGTCTTCTGCATTTGCAAAGGCACATAGGTTTAAACAGAGGGCCGTGCCAAGGGAAGGAAATGCACTTTTTAGTGGCAGGGATTGTGTTCACAGCCTGTCGACAAGTCACGGTATTACCTACACACTCTGCCTGCTTAAGAGCAAACCTGCTTGTTCCATTGGACCCCCATCACTCTTTCCTGTTCAGAGGAACATGTTTGAAAAACTTCCATGAGACACTGGCAGTTCTTTACCCAAAGGGCTGCAGGAGTGTGGAACAAGCAAGCCAGTCATATTGTTGAAGCCGATATCCTGGCTTCCTTCAAGACGCAGCTGGATCACAAACCAAGCAAGCTTCAAGCAACCTCTACTTGTAATGAGAGGAGGGAGGTCTATTGAAAAATGGCCAGCTGATCATAAAAAGTGCTCCCTCCTCCCTTTCCCAAAAGGCAGGGGTATGCTAATGACATGGGCCGTAATGAAGACCCCCTCGTGCTGAAGCAGCAGGGTCACAGAAGAGTGAGGCTGCTTGCCTCTTGGATCGCAAGTGGCTGCCAGGGAAACGAGAGGCACCGGCCTCTGCACTCGAGCTGCGGGTCAGCTCAGCCGTGACGCCGCAACCTAACCGCGCATGATGTGAGGATCAGCCCAAGCGAAGCACCAGGGAGAGGCAGCACCAGGAATCCCAATGAGGCAATTCCAGAGCCGGGGCTGGGCTCTCCTGGTAGAGAGGAGAGTGCTGGGGGGAGCGGAGACTGGGCTCCAGGTTGTCATGGAGCAGCTGGACTGCTGCTGGGCTCCCAGTGAGTCCCATGTTGTAGAAAGAGAGATGGAGGAGCCATCTGTGTTCTGCATGCTTGGAGATTTTGGAGGCCACACTGTGGCTCTTTAGGTGAGATTGCCTGACTGCTGAAGAACTCTGCCACACAAATATGCACACCCAGCAAAAACATGCAAAAGGGTTTCCTCCTCAATAATAACAACAATAATAATAATACACATTTTTATATATAGCACCTTTAAAGGCGGCTTCTCAAAGCGCTTTACAGGATGACAACAACAATAAATAAAAAGAATGCACAAGATGAAACACAATTACAATATATAGAGGAGACCGTGGATGGTGGTACTAAGAAGAGCAGAGGGGTGAAGAATGGAACCAGTGAAGTAAAGGCTCTTCTAAAGAAGAAGGAGTTTAGAGAAGGTGACTCTCTGATATCGTTGGGGAGAGAGTTACAGAACTTGGGGACATAACAGGAGAAGGGCCTGTCACCCATACAATGTAGATGGGCTGGGGGGACAGTTAGGAGACCAGAGTTAGAAGAGTGAAGGTTGCGAGGTGGGGAGAAGGGCGATAATAGTTCAGACAGGTACTGAGGTGCCAAACATACAGTGGTGCAAACTGCATTCTGCTTCTCCAGGGTCCAAGTCAGGCACTGATTTGTGCGGCACACAAGGCCAGACTGACACTTTAGGAGGTGTTGGTGTCTGCTTGGTTTTGTGCGTGGTGTTGTGCTGCTGCTGTATGATTTCACTGTCAAGGCTGCATCTCTCTTTCTCTGTGCCCATCTCTAGCCAAGCTGGCTCGGCGGGTCTGTCTGAGGGAGAGAGATCTGGCTGACTATTAACCTGAAAAATCAACCTGGCACTTTAATATTCCACACTCAGTGAAACTCCCCATTGTGTAACTAACATGTTCCAAATGAGTTAGCAAATTCTTAAAGCAAGAGAGAGTCCAAAATTACTAATCACTAAGGTTTGAGCAAACAGTTTCCACTACTCTGTGTAATTCCCTTAAACTCTATCAGCACAGAAGGGAGAAGCTACAAGGAAATTTAATTGAAGGTGGCAACTGGCCTCTGGGGAAGGATTAGACTGGCAAGCAGCTAATAAGTGCAGCGAAGTGCTTGTTCAAATCTGAACAGACCCAGAATCACTGCAGAACCACAGTGCTGACATGTGTGTCCTCCTGTCTTTCTCTCCTGCAGAAATCCTTCTCCTTGGTGCTGGAGGTGCTGGACCATGACAATGACACTGTAGGGGCAGGTAGGTGGGGCAGCTTCCTGTGATGTGATTGGTGTTTGGGAAGGAAGAAGTCATTAGTCTCTGACCTTGATGACTGGCTGCTCATTACATCACCCAAAGCAATGATCGGCTGGTCCTGACATTGCCCACGTTTTTTGTTTTTTCATTTTAATTTTCTTTTTTTTTCATTCTGGGGTTTCATCCTGTGTTTTGTTTGAACTCTCAGTCACCTCAATTTTCCCTTCCAAGCCATGCTGACAACACTCACAGCTTACGACAGAACACAACATCCACCCAACCACTGATCACAACCTGCAAGGCCAGCCCTCCTTGTCTCCCCCTGGAGTCCATCAAGTGCTCATTCCTTCCTGCCCTTAAGTAGGAAGGAAACTATCATTAAATACTGGGTTTAACTTGGGATTACAAGGCCACTTGAGAGTGTTTTCATTTATTTTTGCTTAACTTTTGCTGTCCCAGTAAGAAACTGAAGTCTTAATTAGAACTGAGCTTTTGGAGAACGTTGTGGCCCAATGCTGTTTATGGAAATGTGGATTCTGACTCATTATTCCACCTCAAGAACGACATGCTGGCAAGAAGATGCCCCAAGAGGCTCAGTGAGCGACAGTGAACCATCCCCAACTTGTGGGGACTTTTCTAGGCATGACTGTAGCAAACATCAACAACAGGCACTGGAGCTTTCCAAAACTGTCATCGTGTAGACCGCTGCAGCTGACCGACTGTCTGCCTGCGCCGGCCCAGTTTCGACCCAGTTCACTGAGAAACTGTCTGCCTGCGCTGGCCCAGTGTTGACCCAGTACACTGACAGACTGTCTGCCTGCGCCGGCCTAGTGTCGACCCGGTTCGCTGACAGACTGTCTGCCTGCGCCGACCCAGTGTCGACCCGGTTCACTGACAGACTGCCTGCCTACACTGGCCCGGTGT